TATATAAACTGGCAACACTCTTGGAAGCATCCGGCAGCATCAAACAAGCCAACCGCCGCCGGTCCGCATGCCGTTAGAATCACTTGTCCTTCCCAGAGGCCCCCCAAAGTCAAAGCAAACAATGGACTGCTGGAAAGACCTCGTTGGCCATGACATAGCTACCCAGTACACCGAGGCACAGAAGCTCCAAGGGTGCTGGCAAGTATGGGAGGGTCATCATCACATAGCATGGTCAGTCATTGTCCCCATCATGTCTGTGACAACCGTTGCCAGGAACAGGAAGGATCAAGGCATACTCGATGAACACTGTAGCTGCCAACGCAAAGAAAGGACAGGACTTCACACGGAACCACCGCACCCAATCAAACTCGCTGCCAGGGGCCAGGGACTAGCAAAGGCACCAGGAAACATGCCGTCCAAGCATTGAGCACCAAAGGATGCTCCCTTCTCCGGTCTTTGCGAGGTGCCTTCAGCATCCGAGGTTATGGCTTGGAGCTTGGAAGTTGGGATCCAAGGAAGCGGCTTGTGCCAAACTGGCCAGAGCTTATCACAGCAGGTGACAACACCAATCTGTGGTGCAATGGGTGGGGCACAGCAAATCTGTCGTATCATGTTGCCAACATGCTGTGAAGCAGGCAAACCCTCCTTCTTGATCTCGATGTCAGATGGCGCAAGTCGGATGCCACTGAGGTTCTTGGGGTCTAGCAAGGCAACCTTGATGTCCTGCCCGTGTCGCGAACAGTGTCTGCTTGGGCAGTCATTCTTGAGGGTTCAAGAACACGTCTAGAGACCCTAAAACGTGACCCGAACCATAAATTCTGAAGTGGCCCTTTAAAGCCAAGTTGTGTGGCAGGGGAAACCTGGAGGCTGAGCTCAAGTTGAAGCCGATCGACGGTATTGAAGTCCACCTGCACCGGATGGGAAAAGCCCGTGACTAACAGAACGCAGAGATGTGAGATGGTTGCTGCAGGGCTGGCTGAAACCATGGTTGAGAACGCGCCTTTACACTGATGAAGCACCCGCTCGCAGGGTCGTAGGCCTCCTTGAAGTACAGGCCTCGGGATCACTCTTAAACTTCCTCTGCATCCTCAGCGTCTGTGCGCACCGAGGGCTCGGCAAATGTCACCAAGGTTGGTGCGCTCAATTCGTCCCTTTACGATTCGAGCACTGACCTGACTGACATGGGCTATCAAGAGGTACGCGAAGAGAAGGGGCCGCCTTAACCCGTCACCCGGCCTCGTTGAACTCGTCCCTCAAAGTACAGGTGATGATGGGTGTGGAGATGGTCTTGGCTGCGTTGATGATCTCCTCACATGCACCACGCTGCAAACGAGCTGCCCCTCAATGCTCCAGCTGTCACCAATCTCCTTGATTCGGGGCACCCCGAGCGTCACATTCATGCTGGCCTTGGCGTCTACGCAGGCTCTTGTGCTGGAAGACTGGTTCCGACTGCCACAGCTGAGCTGAAACTGGACCGACCAAGAAACGAGAGTCGAAGATCCAAGAATGCAACTGTCGGAATGGAGCTTGCACTTTGCTCAGCCCTTCCCCCAGGGTGTCGGTCTTCATTCTTTGTCACATGGACATCCAAGCTCTCTTGTGCGGGGGTGAGCGTTCGGTGAGGTCCCTTAGGGACCTTGGGGAAGTGATGCATGGGGCGAATCTTTCATGCCCCCGCAAGCAGGCCCCGCTGAGGACGCTACCACGCCAGCGAAGTGGAAGGTCTTCAGGGTCATCTGGGTGGCTGGCTCGCCGATAGACTGAGCCTGAGAGGCCAGATTGTCTACTGCCGTTCCGGGGCTTCTGCCGCAGTCTCCCGGCCACTTCAGGTATGTAAGCTGCAAGGAGGATGTTGGATATCTAAGCAGTCCGGACAGTCTCTGTGTATCCTGCACCGAGCTGAGTTTCAGAAGTCGAACAAAGGCCCCGGATCTGCTGATTACCCAAAAACATCCCGACTGAGTGGCACACTGCCACAGCCCCAACCGCCTCGCCTGGCATTAGAAAAGCCTGCCGGAGCGAGCGAAGGGCAGGAAGGAAGGCTACCATTGTAGGACACTGTAAGCGCAGGCTTACGAAATGTCGATCATCTGTGCTTGAGCCGTTGGTCACGAGGCCCCTCCAAACCCAAACCAGACACAGGATCTGCACGAAGACAAACACCAGGAACAGGTACTAGTATGTTTAAGGCCCTCTTGGCCTTAGGGCAAGTGATTTGGCACTGGCTGGCCCCGTGCAAACCCAGAAACCTCTACAGTGAGGGGTCCTAGTTTGGGTTTCAAGGTCGGCTGTCTTCGACGACGGGTGCCAGGGTTGACGACATTCGAAGCTGAACTCTGCATCTCGTCATTCTATACACCCGACCAAGAACCCGAAGATGCAACCGGCCTGAGTTGCGTGCCCTCAGGTCCTGTAAATGAAAAGGCCACCCCAGGTCTAGAACGAGTTTGGAAATGGTTGTTTTCTCCGTCGCATATTCCTCCTTATCTTCGTCTTGATGCTCCTAGCACGGGTCAAGAGCGGGCCTCAGGGCCTCTCTGTGAGACCTGACGAGTCCACGGGCCTGCACGTACTTGATGGCACACGTATTGACAAAGGCGTCCAACTGCTGCAAGGTGGGGCATGACCTTTGCTCAGGGATCCCCCGCACAAGCTCGTGCCACAAAGAGCATTCGAATCCGGGCTCGAGGCCCCAAATCCATCAGCGACAGCCCGTCCTTCAGCCTCTGCAGCGGCACCCGACTTTATGTACTGCAGTTCGAACCAAATTTGAAAACTCTAGCTTCGGGGGATGAGCTTGCACAGACTCTCGGAGGTTTTACATGCTTTGGCATCCGGATACTTCCACTCTCCATCCCCCACTCCCCCGCCTCCAGCTCTTCCGTGCAGCTTTGGCAGACTCCTCGCAAGTTGCAGCTGGAAGCGTTTCCATATAATGTACTACAGTTATTACAGCTACTACAGTGAGGAATATAACTTGTACCAGACCGGACGAGACTCTTGCAGAAAAGGGTCCCCAGAGTAGAACGATGCTTCCTGTGACTGGCCCCCTAGGAGTACCTTCGAACGACTGAGGTGAGAGAGGTAACGTAGTTCCTGGATTCCCAAACCCACCCTTCTGTCGTCTTGATATTCAAGCCGTCAAGCCCCTCCTTAAAACGGGCTCTCATTATAACAGGACTATTCGTGCTAAGGCCCTTAGCCCCGAAGCACAGCTGGCAGGCCCCACCAGAATCCTGAAAACCCCAGGCCTCACTATCGCCAACCTCCAGCCCGAGTTGTCCGCGCTTCAGTGCCACCTGCAGGCAGGGCTCGCTCTCGGCCTGTTTAAGGCTTTAAGGTTTCCAGACTCCCCTGGATTCGAAACCTATGTTAGGTCTTGCAACACCTAACCCTCCACTCTCCGCAGCCTTGACCTGCATCTTAAGGCACTGACACGAACTGCTGCTAATACTAGCTGATTTCAGGTGGGATTATTCTGCTGCGCCCAAATTCCTGCGACCTGCTGCGCCAGCTCCTTGATGAAGCGCCGCACATCCCCCTTCACGAGCCTTGCCAAGAGTGGGGAGCCCCAAATCTATAGAAGAAATGGGCACTTCTTGTGACTCTATAACAATAATGACAACAAGAAGAATTGACAACAAGAAGAATAATAATACCAACAAGAATAAGAAGAAGAATAGTCATAGCAATAACAATAATTGCAATCATCCCAATGTTAACAGCAATAAAATCATAATCATAGTTAATAGTGATAATAGTAATCATAACAATAAACACAACAACACCAAATAATAATCATGACAATAACAGTAATAATAACACTCATACTGTTAACGGCAATAAGAAACATAGTAATAGCAACAATAGTAACCACAACAATAAGAACAACAACACGAATAATAATCATAACAATAACAACAGTAATAGCAGTAATGACCATAATAACAACCACAACAAGATTAATACTACGACCAACAACAGCAATAACAGTCAGAACAGTAGCAATACTAATAACATCAAAAAATTAAGACTAGTAATAACCATAACAGTAATGACAACACTCCGGCCATGCAGCCAAGGTGCTCGAACTCGAGATCTGAGCCTCCTTGCGTTCGCTTCACGAAGTCCTCAGGCTGACAGAACCGCCGGTACGATACTACCTGTAAAATAAAACTAGACTATAATGTACTATAATATACTGTGTAATTAAATATACTGTTATAACTCAGGGCCCGGCCACAAAGCGCGTGGAACAGGGGTCCGCAAGCTCGCGCAGCTCCAGCGGGAGAAGCGGCCAAAGCTTGTACCTGCCAAGCTACTCCGACTTGTCCATTCTGGCAGTGGGCTGATGTGGGCTGCCGCTGTGTCACTATGTTTTGTTGCCAATCCCACTCAAACATGCCCGTTGCTGTGCCGGTCGGCTCTTGACAAGCACCTCGCGTCCGTGTTCTCTGAATGCAGCAGTGGCCCGTCAGCTTCCACATCCGCATCTGAGGTTGCTCAGCGCTCAGTGGATTTCCACAGCTACTATGTTCATTGTCCTTCTTCTTGCCAAGCCCAGAACTATGACAGGGCACTCGTCCTTTTCCATCTCCGTCGGAGTCCTTGTAAGCTCTGTTCGAAGTGGAGATTTGTTCCGAAGCACTCGCACTCACCCCCCACACCCTCTGCCAAGTTTCGCATTCGGATGCGTGCCCTCGCAACAAACAGAACCAGTAGCCCTTGAACTTTCGAGAGCCCGAATCGCATGCTCTGTGCAGTCTCTGGAATCCAGAAAGTGCAAATGGCACCTGTAATCAACCAATGCAATTCGTACAAACCGAAAGCATGGGCCTTTCTGAGTCGCAGTCTTTGGTAGCTCCTCTCCCCGACTACTGCAATAAGTACTCTTTGCTCTTTGCCCGAGTGGTCTCACTTTGCTGGCCTCTGGATGGGCTCTGCCACCCGCCCCGTGCGGGCCATGGCCGGCAGCGGTCCGGGGGGTTGCGCGGCCTCGTACCCGGGATGCAACGCAACTAGCATTCCTGAAAAGGTGCAAGGCAGTGGCCACAGCGGCCTCATGCAATGATGCCAGAATCGCTGTGGCCTTCGTCGTGATTTCAGTGTATCGATCTCGATGTGGAGGGCGAAGGACATTGATGACCTTGTTTTGCCGGATCAGTTGGTTTGAGGATTTTCATGCTGGGGATGTTTCAACGAGAATCGTCACAATCGCGAAACTCTGTCGGTCCAATGAATTCTCCAAAAGGCACCTGGCTATCAAGGTCGCCTATCAAAATCAGGACGCCGTGTTATTACCAGACTTGGCAAACCATCCCACCTCAGTTTGCCAGTGTGAACGCTGCGGCTGCTGAGGCACTTGCATAGTTGAGAACATACCTTCCGGCACAAGAGTGAGACATCCAGCAAAGGCGCCAACCAAGCCCAGGGTTTCAACTGTGCACGGACCTTGAACAAAAACAGACAGTCAGAATCCTTTGGACCCATTCTCAATCCCAAGCCCACGGCCAGAGGGACTTTCCCCCCTCTAGCTTTCTGAAGCTCCATACCCAACCCTTAACCTCGCAAGCCCTGCACAACGGAAGACGCCCAAATTCCCGCAATCCCCCCTGCAAAACCCCCCAAAACCCTAAACCCTCCTCCCCCCTCCAAAAAAAACGCGATCCCCAGATCGGGGCACTCGAAGTCCAAGGGCTTTGAGGCCGAGCCCTCCATTCGGGCTGGGTTCAAGCCATCCTGGTACGTTTGGGGTTTAGGGTATAGGGTTCCGGTGTAGGGTTTAAGGGTTTTGGGTTTAGGTTTGGAGTTTAGGGATTTAGGGTTTAGGGGTTTTGGGATCTGGGTGCAGTGAAGGCTTTTGTAAGAACGTATATGGCAGGATTCGTGGGTAGTATGAGGGTTTTACGAGGGCACCGAAAGATTTCTGGTGGGATTGTGTTCTGATGGCACATTTTATGATGGGATCGCAGAGTTCAGGGCTTAGTGCTTTCTAGTAGGATAGGGCTTGGGTGTTAAAGTTTTGGGTTTTCGGCTGAATGGGAGTGATCTTCTCATGTCGGCTTCGGGTTCAGAAGATGAAATGGGAGTTTCAGGACATCCGAGACCTTGATACAACGATGCCTGAAAGATACCCCTGAATCTAAGAAAATCCTACATGAGGATGTGACCAAGAGTGCACCAGGCTCATTGCTGAACTTCGCTGATCTGACCGACACGGTGGGAGCAAACCACTGGCACTACAGTTTCAAAGACTTTAGCAAGGACTCTGAACTGTACTGCGATAGGCACAGGCAGGGACACCTGTCGGCTGTGGTGTAGCCCAGGGTTACGTAGGCTAGGGCCACGGTTCAAGTACGATGCTATGAGATGTGGGGCGGCTACAGGTTGCAGGCGGACACCACGTCTTCCGGGGAATGCCTTTTTGGGAACACCAGTGAGACTGAAACTGCTCGAAATCACTGTCGTTATTCTGTCAATTGCGATTTGACCCCGAGCTCAGATGGTGTCGCACTGTGAGTGGTGGGATCAGCTGGCGTTGGTACTTGATAAACAGTGGACAACGAACTGAGTAGTGACTTAGATATGTATCATGCTGGTAAACAGGACACAGCTATACTGGACTAACAACATAGATTAGCACACTTTGATGCGCCAATAACACGATGATGCTTGAACAAACTAGAACAGGACAACGACGTGAAAAGGGTGGAAGGAGAGATGAGCAGATTGCTAGCATGATGGAATTATGTCAAAAAGTAGCGGCCTTGTCCGGTGGAAAGCTCACTAGCTAACTAACTAACTTCGTTCCGGTGCCGGCAGCCCCCAATTTGAGTGCTGAAGCGCTGCCTATCGCACGAAGCTTGAGACAACACTTGACAGCTCATGCACACAACCAACGAGGAATACAACCAAACCAAGAGCAAGCAAGTGGCATATAGAAAGAATAGCATTTTTGAATGCATCAGCTTGCCAGCACACCAAAATGCGAACCAACCAATACGCAAATGAACGTAGCCGAAATACCGCAGTACGGTGATGTGGTTCATGTTAACGGCGAGCAAGAACGTTATGTCCGCATCTTGTAACAATTAGGTCCACGAAAGCAATTTACAATCATGTGGTAACTCTAGTTTGAGACTAGAGTCGGAGATGCACTGGTTTCGGATCAAGAGAGGAACTGATCTGGGGCGGCGGCATCGCCGAAAGCAAACTGGACCACGTCGCTGTTCGAGGTTCGGACGGTTAGGTCGTACCTAGGGTGCATTCGTGTGACTCGTGGTTCAACTCCCGAGACACTACCTTCCTAAGGTTTCAGCAACAGCAACATTCGACCAGGCTGCTTGAGAGCCAGGTCTTCCAAGGCCTTCATCAGCCGCCGCTGCATGTAGCCGGTCTCGGCCGTCTTCACCGCGGTGTCCACCAGGCCCTCGCGCCCTCCCATGGTGTGGAAGAAGAACTCCGGAGGTTCCAAGCCGGTGTAGAAGGAGTTCGCCACAAAGCCCCGGGATTTGGGCTCCTTAGAGCCTTTTGGGAAGTGTGGGAGCGTGCGGTTCACGAAGCCGTCCTTGATACGCTGGCCACCCACGTTCTGCTGGCCAACGCAGGCCATCATCTGGCAAAGGTTGATGGGACTTCCCTTGGAACCACAGGTGGCCATGATGCGAGGCTTGTTGAAGAAAGCAAGCTTCTCTTCGCACATGCCACCAACGAGGTCACGGATACGGCCAAGCTCCCCATTCACCAAAGCCTCAAGAGTCTGCTCGGCATTGCAGCCAGGCTTGTTCTCCAGGGTCCCTTTGTTGTATTGGCCGATGTACGTGGCAACCGTCTCGTACTTTTCCCTTGTGATCCGCTGCTTTTCATGCGTGACCTTGCCACCGCCACGGCCATACTCAGCATTGACGTCGTCAATTCCAATAGTGAAGCCGCGATTCATGAGCCAACGGCTAGTCAGCTTGGCAATGCGGCTCATGCAGTCCATGGCAGCACGAGCCCCAGAGTCACGAATGAGCCGGAAGAACAGGCCGTTTTTGGCACCACCCAAGACCTTCTTTCCGAGGTTGCCGCTGAGGAGCTCTGAGTTGCGGAAAAGCACGTAACCGTCGTTGCAGCAGAACGTCTGGTTCTTCTTGCTGTAGTTCTTCTCTGGAACCTCAAGGTTCACAAAGACCTTGGACCTTCGGTTGGGCCGGAGCATCACCGAAATGGCCTGCTTCCCGGTCCAGAGCTCGCAAGGCTTGATGATGGCAGGCGGAGGCAGGTCAATAGGCTCCAAGCCATCAGAGAGGAAGCAGCAAAGCTGACAGAACTTGTCCCTTGACAAGTAGACGTCTTTCTGGGTGAGGAGGAAGGCTCCTGTGAGGAAGTCCTGGGTGGCGCAGATGGCAACCTCCCCGCTTTTCGGCGTGACCAGTCCGTCGCGCACCCCCATGAGTTGCATAGCCTCGGCCCTTGCCTCCTCCGTCTGTGGCAGGTGGATGTTCATCTCGTCCCCGTCGAAGTCCGCGTTGTAGGGCGCACAAACACATTCGTTAAATCGAAAGGTTCGTCCGGGCATTACTTTGGCCCGGTGTGCCATGATGGACAATCGGTGCAGGGAAGGCTGCCGGTTGAAAAGGACGACATCCCCGTTTCGCATGTGGCGCTCGACCAAATCGCCGCACTTCAAGCTCTCGGCGATCTGCTTACGGAACTGCTTCCCCAAAGCCCCCAGGAACTTAGTCCGACCGTCCTTTGTTCTCACGAAGCATGCGCCAGGATGCTCTTCGGGACCTCTCATGATGGCTAACTTCAGTCGACTCATACTTGCTTCGCAGACCTTTTCAGGAAAGGTCATCCTTTTCGCCACCCACTCGGGAATCACCACCTGCTCGACGCTGATGTTCGGATCCGGAGAAATCACAGTCCGGCCAGAGAAATCCACGCGCTTGCCACTCAGGTTGCCTCGAAATCGTCCTTCCTTGCCCTTCAGCCTCGTGCAGATGGAGCGGATAGACTTGCCCTTAATCTGGGTGAGCCCGGAGATCTCGGAGTTGACGTACCTGGCACAAGCCTCCTGAAGGAACTCCCAGGCCTCAAGCACTTGCCGGGGAAGCCCACGTTGCAGCTGGGTCTGCAAAGCAGAGTTGGCCTCGACAATCTCTCCGACGACCATCGTCAGGTCGTCCTCCCTGGTACCCTTATCACCCATGCTCACCTTGGCTCTTCTTGTCTTTCTTCGAAAGAAAGAATAAGAAGCAAAGGAGAGAGAGCCCTTAATTCCGAAGCCGGAGGGGCCGTGGGGCGGATGCACACGGGCGGCACGGGCACCGACATCAGCAGCAGCTGCTCCGGGTGTTGGAACCCGAGGATCTCTCGGTCGCTCGGAGTGATGCGCTTCATCAGCTCGTACCTCTGCAACAGCGATACCGGCGAGGCCCGGCTCTTCGCAGAGAGCCTACGGCCTACTAGTCGAAAAGAGCCTTACCCTGCTTTGCAGCCTAGAGACGCCACAAGAGGGTTAAAGTCTTCCGACGCCTTGTCAGTGTAAGACTCCAGATCTTTGTTGAAGGACTTCGCCTCATTGAAGGAATCGATGAAAGGGATCGACACCTCCTCCGAGGTTTGCTTGTTTGTGGGCCCCACAGCATGTCTCAAGATGAGAGGGACACCAGGTCCCTTTCGGAAAGAGCTGTTCTGATAGCCGCAGTGGGGGCAAGCCCGAGTAGATTTACAAGCGTGCAAGATTCGCTTCTGCAGCATTTGCCGCTGCAAGTCGTCAGTCTGGGGCCGCCTTAAGCGCTTCTTGTACTTTTCCAGCACATCCTCTGCCAGCAGCAACCTGGCGCAGGACTTGCAAACGGAAGCCAGCACCTGATGTGTATGCCGCAGATACCCAGCGTGGAAGACCGGCAGCGCAAGGCTCACGTGGCCGAAATGCCCAACGCACTCGTTTAAGCGCTTGCCGCAGGTGCTGCAAAGCACGTTCTTAGAACTGCTGCCCATTCGCAGGTCCAAAGGGCCATACACGAAGGGTCTCTCATTTGCCAAATCGTACTGGGCATAGTTCAAGACCTCAACCTCGCTGTATCGAGAGATTTGGTCAGAACTGAGCACGGAGAAGTTGACGCAATCAACTTGATAGTTGTTAAATGCCTCCTGGACAGTCTCCTTCACTATCTTTCCAGCTTCTCCACCATCCTCGTCTGCATCTTGCACATCCTCCATGCCTATGTAAGAAACATGGCGATCATTTTCACAGCACTACGGACTTCCTGGTCATGTACTGTTGATGCGGTGTTGGGTTCATCTTCAGCGAGAGCACACCTTTCTGGCTTTTGCACCTACTTGCTGTAGTTCTGGACTCGTTCTGAAGGTCAAAGGAAGCTCTGAAGCTCTGGTCGGATCTCTTTTTGAAAGTGCCTGCTCCTGCAAGGGAACTCGAGCCTTCAGCTGATCTCTGGTAGCTTCCACTGCCTTGCCAAAGCTTCAAACACTGTGCAACCATCCAAAGCGGCCCTAGCAGGCACCCACTGTCAGAGGACGTGATCCCTAAACCCTAAACCCTAAACCCTAAACCCTGATGGCTTCTGGAAGATCAACGGCAAGCGCGCAAGGGTTCATCCGCTCCGCAGAAGCGCGCTTTTTGCCGGCGGATGAGCTGCACAGATGAATTACTTGCTCGATCCTCTGCATCTCAAGCTGCCTCAGAAGATCGCTCGTCACGCTACGTCACACCACGCACTGCTTGAAAACGACATCACAACTTGCAAAGCTTCTGTCACCTTTGACTTTTTGCAACTCAGCACACCTTTCAAGTACCGGCAATGCATTTCAAACTGCGCTCTGCGCCACCTGCTCCTGTTCTTGGTCGCGTGCCACATCGGCATTGTCCCCATCATCGATTTCGAACTCGCCGTTCTCTGCATCTTCTTCCAGAATGCCCTGTGCTCAAGTTGCTGCGATGACTTACACAGCTCATGCCTTTGCGTCTTGGCACCAGGAAAGCCAGACTGCAAGTAAAGCGCTTGGACAAAGCGTCTTCGCAGCCGCAAGGGCCAAGGAAACCCAAACTCTCCGTTACGACAGCACCCCGGAACCCTGTGGCGACCGCGGCGACTGAACTGCAGCACCGGACACATCAAGCTTGGTCTGTAGTCTGTAATAGTCTGTACAAGCCGCGGCGGAGCTTCGGTTTCTTGTTTTTGTTGCGCGGCAAACTAGTAATTTTACACTATCTGCCGATCTAAAGTGCAACAATGAATATAGGATAGTTTCGTGATTGCCAGGGCCCCGAACTGATAAGCTGCTTCCAAAGCTCAAGCGACTGACTGTGCATGAAGCCTCTAGAATCCTGTAGTAATTATGAGGATCCAGAGTTAGATTTCCATCAACCGTGCCTGGACCTTCAGCATTGCGGGGAGGAACATGGCCTCGGCAGTCTAAATTTGGAGAGGTTCCCGATTCTCTCGAGACACACGCCCGAACCACGCGAAAAGATCTCGAGGACATCTGAACCCGATCGAGCTAGACGCCCCGAGGTTGGGAATGCAACCAGCCCTGGCATGTAATCGGTGCACCCAAACACTTGGGCCTCAAGGGCGAAGCTCATTGGCTGTACCCTCCCACTCTCCGGATTGGTTCGCTCATGTCTGATTTCACATCTGCTTGAGCCTTGTCGCTCAACTTCATAGCATCTAGCAGAATGTGCGTGAAACATTCTGACAGACAACAACCTGCTAGGTCCCTCATGAAGCCGCATGTTATGCTGGGCCCGGAACCCTGAAAGCTAAGTGTGAAACTCACAGACCTAATCCGGGGGTCGGAAAAACTGGAAACAATACTCCCTGTATTTCCTAGGTTGTTATAGCAGAACATTCCGGGAAAGCCTATCTTCATCCCGAAAACCATCTCCATTCAAAACCCCTGACATTCTGGTCTAAGCCTGGCACAAAAGGGATCTTCCGCTGCGGACTTAAAGAGTTTCCGGCTGCTAAAGGGACGTCCAGCAACATGGCCAAGTCCTGGAAGGGGGGTATTAGGGTTTAGGGTACTTGGGTTCAGTGCCTTAGGGTTTAGGGTTTTAGGGTTTAGGGCTTCAGGCTCCGAGGGCTTTGGGGCCTTAGGGTTTAGGGTTTCAGGGTTCGGGCCTTCAGGGTTCGAGGCTCTTGGGGCTTTTCGGCTTGGGCGGCTGCTTCGCGCAGCAGTTTAGGGTTGAGGGCTTAGGGCTTAGGGTTTGCCGTAGAGTGGCGCATAGGCGGAAGTATCTAGCAACAGCGCAGTTTCGAGTGTTTCGTAATTTGACGACTCGCTGGTGGAGCCCAAATCTTTCTTTTCTCTCCCCCTCCCCACGCCGTCTGAGGCGGCCAAACCACCCAAACCTATTCCTTTTAGGCTTTAGTTCTAAGCTCATTCCATAGTTTTCTTCTTTACTTCAAGGCGTTGAGGCAGCTAGGGCTGGGCCGGCCAGGGAATCTGCTTGCTAGAGGCTCCGGGAATTTCTGGCTTGGGGCCTTGGGGTATCCCCTCCAAAACCCCAGCGCCATGGGTCGACCTTGCGGTTTAGGGTATCTAGAGACTCCAAAACCCCTTGATTAAGGAATATACCTTAAATCATATTGGGGATCCGATTATAATTTAACGGATATTCCTTAATTAAGGGGTTTTGGAGTCTCTAGCTATCTACCTTCTTTTAAGGGACCAGTACTGGGCCCAGTGGTGGGTGCTACGAGCTGCAGGAGGCGGGCGTTGCGCCATTGAGGTCGAGGGGCTTTTGCACCCCCCCACTGTCAGGGGGCGGCCTAGGCCTTGAGTTTTTTTTTATCACCTCTTTTCCGTCCGCCTGAAAAGGTGTCCAGAATACCATGTAGGCCTTGAGTTTAGGGTTTAGGGTTTCCCGAAACCCCAAACCCTTCGGAACTCGAGCCAGGCCTTGTCGGGCGGGAGCGGTAACCCAAGCTTCTCCAATATGAAGACAAAGTCCTCTCAAGTCCGAGATTTTTTAAAAAACATATCACAGCATATACTAGTATGGTATATGAGGGTACATTATAACATGTTCTGGTATATTTCAGTATATTCTAGTATACTATGATATAGTATGGTAATTCAAGCTGCTCTTGGGTGGCTAATTCGTCTCCCCGACTCCTTGAGCACCATTGTCTCCTGCCTCCTCATCTCCTCGTACACCTGCGATGCTATCAGGTCAGCCTAGTGAAGTGGCAGTAGTAGTAGTAGTAGT